ATGAGGTTGGAACTTGTCTGGAACTAGCCTGGAACGATGCTGGAATGAGGTTTATTCAGCAATGATGGTACAGGCCAGAGCGGGAGAACACCACTTGAGGAACTGGGTAGAAATTGCTGCAGTTGCAGAGACGCATATTGCCCGCTCTCTCTCTCTCTCTCTCTCTCTCTCTCTCTCTCTCTCTCCTCTCTCTCTCTCTCTCTCTCTCTCTCACTTTCTCTCACTTTCTCTCCTCGCCCAGCCTTCCTATCCTCCCCAAACTGCTTGGTAATTAATGATAGTTGGCAATTACCGCCCCGGGGTAATGAGCCGAGAAGGCCGTCATTAGGGCCCACTACCTCCATCCACTGGGGGGCCCCTCAAGCCCTCTCCACTACCATCTCAGTGTCCGGTTTGCTGCCTACACCTCCGGCTACGTCTCAAGAATAACCCACAGTATCTGAGTGAGAAGGGATGGATTTCAGAAGGACCTGTGATGCCTAGCACAGACCAGTAGGCCTACAGCACTGCTCCTACATGATTTTTAATGCACAATTAACTTGCCATTGCAAAACGGTCTAGGACAGACAAAAGCTCCCTCTATCGCTTCCAAAGTGAGGATTATTTACGAATTGTTCCAGTCACCAAGGTATCGACTCATTTTTTGTGTGTTTCTCAATGAGAAAAATACTTTCTAAGATTTTTTTTTCATTTTCGTTCATTTCCCGGCCCATCTTCAAAACAGTTCGCGTCGAAGCTGTAAGATTCCTCATATTTGTTTCTCTTCTCATTACTAGGATTCTTGTGTGTGTGTGTGTGTGTGTGTGTGTGTGTGTGTGTGTGTGTGTGTGTGTGTGTGTGTGTGTGTGCTCCTGTAGCAACGAACCTGTGTAAACAGGTGAGCACAAACAGGAGAACACAAACAAGAGAAAAACAGAAGCACAAACAGAACACAAACAGGTGAGCACAAACAGAACAAAAACAGGTGAGCACAAACAGAACACAAACAGGTGAGCACAAACAGAACAAAAACAGGTGAGCACAAACAAAACACAAACAGGTGAGCACAAACAGGTGAGCACAAATAGGTGAGCACAAACAGGTGAGCACAAACAGGAGAACACAAACAGGAAAACACAAACAGGAGAGCACAAACAGGAGAACACAAACAGGAGAACACAAACAGGAGAGCACAAACAGGAAAACACAAACAGGAGAACACAAACAGGAAAACACAAACAGAACACAAACAGGTGAGCACAAACAGAACACAAACAAGTGAACACAAACAGGAGAACACAAACAGGAGAACACAAACAGGAGAGCACAAACAGGAGAGCACAAACAGGAACCTGAACAAGCAAGACACAGCCACAACTTCCAAAATAACCAGAAAATGCAACAAGATTTTCCTCTCTAATTCCGCCAGCAGTTTTTTTTTTTTTACCCCCCCCCCACCCCCGGTGTTCGCATTAGCGGCGCGGCACCCACTTAGCTGTTAAAAGGGGCCAGTTACCAAGGAAACTCTCCCCGAATTATGGTTTTCCCCTCACTCTAGGACAAAAAAAAAAAAACAGAAGCCTCCCCACCCCTCCCCCCCCTCCCCCACCCCTCCCCCCTCCCCGTTCACTAAACCAAAATCTTTAAAGACTGAAAGCAGAAATGGTTTAATATATTTCTGTTTTTTCTTTCCAGTTGTAGGATATATTGGGGGGGGGGAGAGGTTTCTCCTTGTGAAAACTGGAAATTTCTGGCGGTTTTTTGAACTGTGGTATCGGCGCGCCTCTGGGCAAAAAGGCGATGGACTGAGTGACGATGAAAGTGTTTCTTCTCTTTTTTTAGGGTCGCTGGGCTTAATTTACAAAGGGGCAAAATAATTATTTTCCAAACAGCAGGATTCAAACCTACGCGCGCGCGCGCACACACACACTGACGACACTGGAGGACAGAAGGGTCAGGGGAGATATGATAACGACATGCGAGATACTGCGGGGAATAGACAAGGTGGACAGAGATAGGATGTTCCAGAGAGGGGACACAGGGACAAGGGGTCACAACTGGAAGCTGAAGACTCAGACGAGTCACAGGGACGTTAGGAAGTATTTCTTCAGTCATAGAGTTTGTCAGCAAGTGGAATAGCCTAGCAAGTGAAGTAGTGGAGGCAGGAACCATACATAGTTTTAAGAAGAGGTATGACAAAGCTCAGGAAGCAGAGAGAGAGAGAGGACCCAGTAGCGATCAGTGAAGAGGCGGGGCCAGGAGCTGAGTCTCGACCCCTGCAACCACAATCAGGTGAGTACAATTAGGTGAGTACACACACACACACACACAAACTGCCTCAAAGCTCGAGGTACTTAATGCCACTCGGACAGATCCCAGAGTCTGGGATCTGGTCGTGTGGAAAAGGTACTACGTACTTTGATGTAGAGTGTGTAGGTTCGAATCCTGCTGTGGACTGACAAATATATATATATATATATATATATATATATATTAATTATATATATATATATATAATATATATATATATATATATATTGTGTGTGTATGTATATAAGGATAATAAAAGGCGGTTTATACATTATTGCATATACTGGACCATTAAGTTGTGATGCTATTTACATATCCTTTTAATCCTACCCTTTTATTTCTCTCCCTTTTCCCCTTAACCTCTCCCCCTTTACTCTTCCCTCACCACCCATGTCTTAACGGGTATGTGTCTGAAAGAGAGGAGACGGGGGGGGGGAATTATGAGGAACAGGTGGTGTCAGGTCTATCCCAGTCAACCACGTACACACACACACACACACACACATCGGGTGAGAGATTTCCTGTCTGAAAGACAAATACGAAGTGAATTTAGGTAAATTATCTCAAGAAGTGAACATCGCTTCCGGGGTGCCCCAAGGATGGCCTCTGGTCCCAGTATTATTTCTAATAATAATAATATATATATATATATATATATATATATATATATATATATATATATATGTAAAATAATAGTAAAGAAACCTATATTATGTCTGCTGAGTCGAAGATCTTGAGCCAAAAATGTGTTTGTAAGTCCATGGAAATCTTTGAAAAGCTGAGAAATTTGCTTGAGTGACGAATCATGGAAATTAATCTTTACAAATTCAATGGATTTAAAGAGACAGTGAAGTCAGGTCGTGTAAAAAATATATATTGTGTGAGAAAAAATATCCAGAATACGTGAGGCAGAGAGACCTGTGGGTCATCGAGGAACTAAGATTTCCATCGCAAGAACCTGGTCATGAAATCGCCAGAAACTCGACTGTTACACTGGCGAACTACTAAATGGCCTTCAGATATGTGGACGAGGAATGCCGGTGCGGCGATTACTTAAAAAAAAAAAAAACGGAAATAGAAAGCTTCTAAATAACTGCTAAATGACCACAAAAGATGACTGGAGGAGTCATGAAGATGACTGGAGGAGTCATGAAGATGACTGGAGGAGTCATGAAGATGACTGGAGGAGTCATGAAGATGACTGGAGGAGTCATGAAGATGACTGGAGGAGTCATGAAGATGACTGGAGGAGTCATGAAGATGACTGGAGGAGTCATGAAGATCAGAAAAGGCTGCGACACGATAGATAAACATAAATACAACAAGAAACCACGATTGTAAACGAAGAAACATGTAATATATATACATTGAGATACATATTTCTCTCAGCATATACATTCACACTTAAGAATTTACCTTAATCCCTCTTTTAACATTTTGACGATGAAAAAAAATTAAGTGCAGCCTTAATGAATCTAGTGTAGTGGACAGAGTTTAAACTCCTTTAGCAACAAACACAAGGAGGTGCAGAGGAGCCTGGGAAACTTTCCACACAGTGTAGTAGACGAAGATGTAAAAAGTAACAGCCGTTGATGTATGATGCTGAAGACGAGACAACACAAGTATAGTCGTACTATTGTAGTTGCAAGGATGTTAATACACAGGCTCTCATCCTGTGTTTTCATTCTCTCTCTCTCTCTCACTCTCTCACTCTCTAACATATAAGTCTCCGTGAACTATTGACCCACCGTCACATTATTGTCTCGGCTAACACAATACTCTGAACAAGCGGTTAACAACACAAAAACTGCACACGACACATTTGTTCTCTATCCCAAACTAACATCTATGGAACATGTTCCTGGGGAAAAATATCATTGCAATCCTTCACTGTGTTGCGCTGGTTCCACCTCGAGTCTCGCCTTACGAGCTGGTTGAGGCGTTTCTTGAAACTGGTGAAGGGTCGTAATGCGAGGAATTTTCCGCTTTATGAAAACGTCGCCTTTCATTTACCTTCAGTGCAACTAAAGAAAAAATAACTGGCTAACAAACCAAGCTTTGGCTTGGTGTGGATGTGGACTTCAGGACCCAGCCAACGAAAATCAGCTTCACTGCTTGATTTTCTTGGCATTGCGGTGGGTTGACGAGCCTCTGGGGTTAGTTGCCCGAAGTCATCCTGTCTTTCAGATTCACTTGTTTCAACACTTCAAGAAAGTGCTTTCCAGCAACAATCTACAAGACAAACGAGTCTTTAACGACAGTTTTCTAGGAAAGTCCTTTGTCGACATTGTAATTGGCCTTGACTGCCTTTGTCGGGGATATAACTGGCTTTGACTGATCATTGTCGGGGATGTAATTTGCCTTAATTATCACTGTAGGTCATGTAATTGGCTTCCAATGATTTAGAGTTCACAGGTAAAGTGTGGCGCGACGAGTCATAGTGGGCAAAACGTAGACAGATTTGTGAACACACAAGTACACAAAATAAATCTTTATTTCAACATCATTTCCCCGTCTAAGTAGAGCTTGGAAAAGCTCTATTTAGAGAGAAACGTTGTCCAAATGAAGGCTTACTCTACATAGTTTCTTTGTCTGGTCACGGAAGGAAACATCGCGAGCACTGGTAGACACCAGGCTATGGACGACACAGTAGCAGTCTGAAAATTTCCTCTTCAAAATCGCCCGTTAGTGTGTGCCTGCGCTTGATTGGTTCATGGTTGCTGTCGCTGTTGGTGAGTGGGCGGCGAGGGCGGAGTGGGCGGGCTGGCCGGGCTGGGGACGGAAGACAGGGCTGGCGAGGCGCTGGTGGTGGGCGGGGATGGCAGTGGTTGTGGCCCTGTGGAGGTGGTGGAGGAGAGGCTGGAGGCAAGAGTGGAGTAGTAGTGGGAAGTGAGGGATAAAGGAGAGGCTTGGGATAGGGCAGAGAGTGGAGAGGCTTGAGATAGGGCGGAGAGAGGAGAGGCTTGAGATAGACTATGGGACAGGAACGGGTTGGGCTGGATAGTTGCGCGTTGAGTGAGAGCTGCAGCAACGTGTCGGTAATAAGCGTCAACACCTGTAATAAAAAACACAGGTGTTAGTAACTAGTCCTCCTGAACGCAGAAAATAAATGCAATACAGAAAACACGTAAGAAAATATATGCAAGTAAATAAACAACGTACAATTTTATGATATCTGCCACCTTGAATGTTCATAAGGCAGAAATGGCCAGGATTCCTGCCCGAGTGCACATAGTTTAACACAGTTTTGTTACACTCACACTGCAGGCAGGTAGTAATTGCCAGAACGACTGCTGTCTACACTTTCTACTTTTCTGCCAGGAGACAGTACTCACCAGACCACCTTACGGTGTACATCTACTGGCCTTAGAGAGTATTCACAAGACTACCTCAAGGAGTACAATTGTAGGTGATGTCTACGGACTCACCACCGACTCTAGTCAACTGTGGGCCAAGTCATGCTGACGCTGTTGTAGTGTGGCACTGAATGAAGATAGGGTCGGAGTATGACACTGAAAAAGAATGGGACCGTAGTGTGACACTGAAGGAAGTATGACAGAGTGTAACACTGAAGTAAGATAATAGGGCATAGTGGAACACTGAGAGACGAGGGTGTCGTGTGACACTGAAGGAAGATAGGATCGTAGTGTGACACTGACAATAGTGTCATTGAGAGAAGGAGCATCACAACATGGACAAGGGTGTCGTGTGACACAGAGAAAGAGTGTCATAACAGATAAGGGTGTGAGACAGGAGTGTAGTATAACTCCATGTAATTAGTGACTGAGTGTGACACAGTAGTGTCAAGAGTTGTACCCCTGTGTGTGGTAGGGTCATAAATTAATTATAATTTATTATTTTAGGATTTATATGTATATATCTGTACAAAGTAATTATAATTTATTATTGTAACATGTGTATATATGTGTACCAGAGACAATAGGTTTTTATCAGGAGTTAATATATTAAAAATTATTTATTATATAATACCTCTAGACCAAAGATTGTTTTTAGCATAAGACAATTTATAATTTTTACTAAGTGTATTCAGTATCCCGAACTGTCATAGTACAGCACTAGAGTAAAGGCCAAAAGAAGTGTTTTTTGTGGGTTGTAATATATGGGGGCCTGTCCAGGATACTGAATACACTTAAGACAACTTATAATTCTTATTATGATCAAAACAATCTTTGGTCTAGAGGTATTATATAATAAATAATCTTTAATATATTAACATCCTATAAAAACCTATTATCTCTGGTACATATATATATATATATATATATATATATATATATATATATATATATATATATATATATATACACATGTTACAATAATAAATTATAATTACTTTGTGCAGATATATACATATAAATCCTAAAATAATAAATTAATTTATGACCCTACCACACACAGGGGTACAACTCTTGACACTACTGTGTCACACTCAGTCACTGATTACATGGAGTTATACTACACTCCTGTCTCACGACACCCTTATCTGTTATGACACTCTTTCTCTGTGTCACACGACACCCTTGTCCATGTTGTGACACTCCTCTCCATGACACTATTGTCAGTGTCACACTATGATCCTATCTTCCTTCAGTGTCACATGACACCCTCGTCTCTCAGTGTTCCACTATGCCCTATTACTTACTTCAGTGTTACACTCTGTCATACTTCCTTCAGTGTCACACTATGGGTCCATTCTTTTTCAGTGTCACACTCCAACCCTATCTTCCTTCAGTGCAACACTACAACAGCATCAGCTCTGTGTCACACACACACGTGTCTACTGTGTCACACTTGACATCCTTGTCTCTGCGTCACACACTCAGCTATCACCCTCATAGCGTTTTTTTTTTCTCAGAGGCCAGCAATCTGTCACATGACACTATTCGTCAGTGTTACACTACAATCCTATCTTCATTGTCACAAGACACCCTCGTCTCTCAGTGTTCCACTACGATCCTATTATCTTACTTCAGTGTTACACTCTATCATACTTCCTTCAGTGTCACACTACGATCCCAGCCTTTTTCAGTGTCACACTCCGACCCTATCTTCATTCAGTGCCACACTACAACAGCGTCAGCATGACTTGGCCCACAGTTGACTAGAGTCGGTGGTGAGTCCGTAGACATCACCTACAATTGTACTCCTTGAGGTAGTCTTGTGAATACTCTCTAAGGCCAGTAGATGTACACCGTAAGGTGGTCTGGTGAATACTGCTTCTAAGGCCGGCTCAGCAGTTCCCACATTGGGTCTGATGATGTACCCAGTGGTACTGCCGGCCGGCAGAACCACTAGTTTGGCAGGGGGCCGTCACACCCACACCACAAAATGACCGACACACAAAGATTAATGTAATACGTATCCCGAACTGTTATCCCTGATAAGATCATCCCAGAAATAATCCTTGATCATCTCCCGGACAGGACCCCATATTACAACCCAGGATTTCAAATGGTCTGTTATCCTGGGTGTAAAGGGAGCAAAATAAACACAGCAGAAAACTTTTGACTTATATTATCCTTCACCAATTTAGAACAGAAGTATGTACACTATATGCACTATGTACAGCGATAGGTATTAGTGCACTCCACGGTAAGCAAGGCAGAATAGAAGCCACTAGAGAGCAGACCGTGCTTCAACTAGCTCTAAAATGGGAATTACAAAGGCAGACAGGAGAGTGGTACCCACATAACCTCTGTGATTGCCAAAACCATCTTATTGGCTGGAACCTGGGTACTGGTTGAACGACGGGGCCCCATCGTCAACCCTTAGTCACCGGGTTCACTGGTTAGGGGAGATAGCCTGTAAATGAGGGTGTGTACATGCGCGGAATAAAGGTTATGTACTCTTTGCGTGCCACATCCTCAGCCATTATCAGGTCGCAAATCTAGTTGAAGGAGCGTTCTAACATTTGTGAATGATTTTTTTTACATAAAACAGATCTTGATGTGAACGTGAAAGATGGTTTAGAGCACATTGGTGAGAGGGATGTTCTGAGGGTAAGAGAAAGTACTTGACCCAACTGTTTGGCGTTACTGCCATTGCAGTTAGGTCAGGTAAGGTTTGTCAGGAAAGAAGACAAGCGTTTCCTGACACGGTTCTAAGTCATATGATGAACCGCAGCTGGACCTTTTGGTCATCCGACTGAGGCCTTCCGATGGCTTACAGGTTATAATTATAATCACCAAAGCTTGTTATTGCAGATTAGGTAGGTAGGTAGTAGATTCGCCTGTATAATCGCCCGGCCCGGACCTTTTCCTTGGCTCCTTGTCGTGCGTTTCAGACCAATGTCTGCCATGGAAGGAGGTACAAGTACCTCCTCATCTTATGGGACCAGCTGTCCCCAGGCCTAGCCCCATTCCCCGCCCCCACGGGGCTCAGAAGGAGAAGCTAGGCACCTTGGGCTGCCACAAACCCCACCCACACTGGGCTCGAAGGGTGTAGCAGCTGCATAGCAGCAGACGATGTCAGGAGGTGCAAAGGCAGCAAGCACTACAGGATCCTTTTGCAGCCACACCCCGGCTTTGGGCATTAAGCCCGAGAGCTGGGGAAACTGTGTGTGTTGCTGCTGCTCCTACTACACTTGTCCATTGCACTCTGCTGGCATTGCAGACTTTCTCCCTTCTTAGATAGAAAGCTTCAACTCTTGCCCAGTGACTGGCCAAGTAGGGACCTCATAAAACAGCCAGTCACTTTGGTCCAGGATCCTCCAACCCGCCGAGAAGAACCAGTTAGCGATGTGCATGTTCCACTGGCTGCTTGCGGGGAAAGACCTCAGGCTCTAATTTGTTAAACAAGGCTTGCCTAAGCGCCCAGTCTCAGCCGTCGTCGCTACAGCTTAAATATGGTCAGCAGCACCTCGGGATGAGGTCAGAAATTAATCATTTTCACCCAGCAGATGCGTTAATTACTCTCTCTCTCTCTCTCTCTCTCTCTCTCTCTCTCTCTCTCTCTCTCTCTCTCTCTCTCTCTCTCTCTCTCTCTCTCTCTCTCTCTCTCTCTCTCTCTCTCTCTCTCTCTCTCTCTCTCTCTCTCTCTCTCTCTCTCCTAGTGACATTTCTGACAAAATCCATTCTTACTCTACAGCATCTTACATACCTCCCACAAGGGCTTTTTTTCAGTCTGTACGAGAATAAGTGATGGCATCATCTCCTATTCTCTTCTGCAATGCGAGTGCAATTCTGCATATCCCATTCATTTTGAGGTTATTTCCTTTCCAGTAGAGGAAAATGTTTGAGTGCCCGCTGAAAGCTGAGTGAAAAAATAAAGAAAACGAGAATTTATGCATAGTGTTGTGATTAAATAAAAAATGTGAGCTCACACAGTGTGTACAGTACACGTACTGACAGTACATGTACACATGTACGTTGCCAAAGTGTGTACAAAGAAACAGACGGTTTTTTTTTATAGTGAGCCGTGGCAGCCTAAGCTGGAAAACCCAGGAAGAACGACTCTCTTCATTAGAATTACCCCTACAACACAAATAGATGAGTACGTACATACGTACGTAAGTACACACACACACACACACACACACACACACACACACACACACACACACACACACACACACACACACAAGTGGAATTTATGAAGACATAATCGCAGAGCGAAACAGGGATTGTAAAATTTATTTGTAAATGCATACACATGCAGAGGGTGAAGGGGAGGAAGTGAGGGCGTGAGGTGAGGGCGTGAGGTGAGGGCGTGAGGTGAGGGTGTGAGGTAAGGGCGTGAAGCGGGTCTGGAATTTTACCTGCAGGGAGAGTGGGTGTAATATGGGCGAGAGTGGGCGTGGGCGGCCAGTAGTGTTGTCCATAGAGTCTCTGAAGAGCAGCATAGTTGCCAGCCTCGGCCAGTAACTCCAGTCCCACAGCTGTCTGTCTTTTCCACTTAGTCCTGTTGAGAGGAACGAGACGTGCACACGTTAATCCTGGAAATGTACGTGCAGATTCATACGCACATAGGCCCAGGAGCTGAGACTTAACCTCATCCCCCCATTCCACAAGCACAAATCAGTAAGCTACAACCAGTGAAAATTTAAAATGTTTATTTACAATGACTAAAGACTGGGAACCACGAATACATCTCTGCTATTTCTACAAATAGATAACTACAGATTGGCATTTACAGGGGTCAGGAGCTGTCACTCAACCCCCTGCAAAAACATCTACTTGAGTACACTGTTGACTTGTGACCCTATGGTCAGAGTAGCAGGCGCCCAACCAAAAGGACCGGAGTTAAATTCCCGAGCACTCTACTACTACACACACACACACACACACAAAGCAGAGGTATGATAAAGCTCACGGTTCAGTAGTAGCGACCAGTGAAGAGGCGGGGCCAGGAGCTTGGACTCGACCCCTGCAACCTCAACTAGGTGAGTACACACAGACACAGACACACACACACACACACACACACACACACACACACACACACACACACACACACACACACACACACACACACACAGCCGACAACGACAACCCCTTTCATAAGAGAACAAGAGAGCGGCCTCGTGGGATGAGTGCCTCTAAGGCCCTCAACAGAGAGACATAAAATCGAGGTGCAGAACGAATGTGATAAACGATGGTGTGGAAATGTTCCCGGCTGGGAAGGGTAAGAGGAAGTCATGGCAGGGAGGAAAGGGTTTTAACGCCCGCAATGACCACCACACACGCCAGGGTGACGCCCTGGGGGTTAAGGGGGAGGGGAAGGGAGAGAGACCTTCTGGGAAAGAAGGCCGAGGAGAAGGGGTCTGGATGACCCTTTGGGTAGGGGTGACATCTCAGAGGCTGGGAACTATTCCAGGGTAAACTCAGGAAGACTTGAATAACTCCTGTCTGGCTGAGGGAGTGTCCGAAATTGGGTTTGACCCTAATGGTCAAAGAATGACCAGTGGATAGCTGGATGACACCTTGTTGATTGAAGAATGACCGTGGGCAGCTGCTGAAGAAGAGAAAGAGGAGGAGGAGGAGGACGAGGACGAGGACGACGACGAGGACGAGGACGACGAGGAGGAGGACGAGGACGACGACGAGGACGACGAGGAGGACGAGGACGACGACGAGGACGACGAGGACGACGACGAGGACGACGACGAGGACGACTAGGACGACGAGGACGAGGACGAGGACGACGAGGACGACGACGACGACGACGAGGACAACGACGAGGACGACGACGAGGACGACGACGACGACGACGACGAAAAGTGATTTGTAATACAGAATAACCCAAGAAAACCCACCGGTGTGGCTTATTTCCACAGGGGTTCTCTTCATTCTTTTCCCCAGGGTGCCGCCCACCACAGGGAGTTGGAAAAATAAACACATAAGCAGTATAATGTGATCCTTTATTGACAACGTTTCGCCCACACAGTGGGCAAACGTTGTCAATAAAGGATCACATAATATTACTTATGTTTATTTTTCCATTGTGTAGGTATTTTATACTATTTATTTCCACCATAGGGAGTGAACACCCCAGGGAGTGAACACCCCAGGGAGTGAACACCCCAGGGAGTGAACACCCCAGGGAGTGAACACCCCAGGGAGTGAACACCCCAGGGAGTTAACACCCCAGGGAGTGAACACCCCAGGGAGTGAACACCCCAGGGAGTGAACACCCCAGGGAGTGAACACCCCAGGCACCTACTTATAGTCTAGCCAATCAAACCTGAAAAATGAGTCGGTCAAGAATTGCTAAACAATTTTTACTGCGTTACATAGATGAATAATGTACATTTTATTCTGAAAGGAGACCAGCGCTGTGCAACTTCAGAAAGTGAACTTCAAGTAGAGGTACAGAGAGTACATAGTCTGCTACTCTGCAGAATACTTCTGCTTACTTCTGCGTTGAATATTCATGTTATAAATGGTTTAAAAAAAACGACAAGTTGAAGATTGAGACACATATGCAACATCTGTCAGACACTGCAACATCATGGGATCTTGATACGAAGAATTCTTCATCCTTGTCCAACCTTTGGACGAAGACCTACTTCGACTAGTGGATGGAACCACTATGACCCCGCGTCCTCCTGCTTCGCTTCACCTCACTACAGTATATAAGCCACGTCTACGGCCCTATGCTGTGCATTCTACAAGATTGATTGACTGAACACATCGACTCCAGGCTGAGGGACTGATTACCTCAAACTCCTCCTCTCCTTACACCTTCCTGATTTGTATTGGACTGATGAAGCCACTGTTTAGCGAAACTTTTCCTCAATAAAGATTCCCATATGTTGCATAAGTGTCTCAGTCTTTAATATTGATGTTGAAAGCAACACGTTTCTCAGTGCCAAAGAGACATGGCATTGTGTCCCTCCGTAAACCTGCATAAACGTAAGCAAGTTACTGGTCTCTGGAACAATAAATGATTCAATAAATGATTCAATAAATGTTACAATAAATGTTCCATTTTTTCCGAGATTAGTTGGATATTTTCTGACTGACTTGAGGAATATATCTACAGAACTGAAGATGGGATGAAAGCAAAGAAATATCAAGAGGTTAGTGTCCTCTCCGATGACGGTTGTGGTACAGGTAGAATCATAATCTTATGTTCTTATAAGATCATAAGTATGCAGGAAGACTGCAGCAGGATTACTGGCCTAAAATAGGCAGGTCCTTCTCTAAATCAACCATTCCCTCCCACCCACTTGCCCAGCCTATCCCCAGAGTTTCCCAAGAATGTGTTTCAATACCTCAGATATTTACCAAACCCAACCCTTCTCAGTCTTTTATTTTTTCGATCTCTTTTTAAAGCTACACAAGGTCTTAGCTCCTATTACCCTACTCGGAAGATTGTTCCACGTATCCACAACTCTAGTATTACCACAACACTAGTATTACCTCTGTTCTGCAAGAACAGTGTTGTATCTTCTGTACCTCTGCTTGCCTTTCTGTATGTGTTGTTGACTTAGGGAACTTTTCTTCTCTGATGGGTATTCTCCCTTACAGAGTCCACTGGAGACCTGGAATTCCTTTTGTTCTACGAAGATGTGTTTCGTCCTTCATAAATGTATCCGTATCCTTCAAAAATATATATGAGCCATTTGTACGCTCTAGCAACTTAGTTAACGTCTTGTAGAGTGGTTGGTGTAGTGATCCACCGTCATCTCTCCCTCGGGTAAACCATACCCCCGGCCGGGATTGAACCCGCGGTCATAGTCTCAAAACTCCAGCCCGTCGCGTTAGCCACTAGACCAGCTAGCCCTCGGGTAACTACGGCATGTCAGTGCCTCCACCCGTTGTCCAAATTGCCTCTGCAAGTGCTGTCTTTTTTTCTTTTTTGGTCTAAGAACTTCCAATGGTTACCCATTCATCACCTATTTTCTAACAAATGGTCAGCCACTTTAAGTGTTGCTTTTACGAGGGTAAATGGCTCTATCGACTTTATCATTTCAAGCATGATTTGTGGACTGGCAGGCTTTGTAAATCCAATGTTCCAGTTCGGAAGTGTTTGCCTGTTAGTAAATAACATCTCCGGCAATCAAATCTTAATAAACACGAAATCAGACTTTCAACACTCTGAGCCCAATCGTCACTGCGCACTTTGCTCGGGCAGTGAATGATTAACTGAAAGTCAGAGTTTTTTTACTGGAAAAACATCACATTCTCATTTTTCCTGATAATTTTGCAGACTGTTCTCAAAATATTGTTAACTGGAAGCGAGACGTTGAATACGACTCGTTATATTTAAGATTTTGCCGTCAAAGTGGCTAGTTCATTGTGAATCTTATATCCCTACTGTGGACGGCAGTGCAAGATGATCGTATGAATACATAAAAGGGTCTAGGAATTGGGTCCTGATGGGGTTAATAATAGCATATGGTTCTTTAAGTAACGTTCTGTGGGGAGGGGGGGAGAACTATCAAGTCACGACTGATGTTCTCTTTGTTGCCATACTCATACCTGCAATGCTATTGCACAGATTCTCCTGCAGACTCCTTTGTGTGTGTGTGTGTGTGTGTGTGTGTGTGTGTGTGTGTGTGTGTGTGTGTGTGTGTGTGTGGGTTTATTCCACTGCTTCACACTATGCCCGAAGTGACATACTTTGTCTACGGTTCGCCAGAAACTCTCTGTAGGTTACACACACATAGTGAACATTCGTCAAATCCGAACAATAACAACAGCACTAAATAAGTATCTCAGAGAGTGAACACAGCGAGGCGGATCACAAGGTTCTGCTGTTATTATTACTAATCTCCATATATTTTTATCTTTATTATTGCTCCAGTCTTGTTTAATTCTTTTTATTATTGCTCCAGGCTTTATTTTTTATTATTACTACACTGGTGCTCATCAGGTACCCTTGAAGAAGTACCTTGAAGTGCCTCACTGCATTTTCGAAACACGTACACTCTCTCTCTCTCTCTCTCTGTCTCTGTCTCTGTCTCTGTCTCTGTCTCTGTCTCTGTCTCTGTCTCTCTCTCTCTCTCTCTCTCTCTCTCTCTCCTCTCTCTCTCTCTCTCTCTCTCTCTCTCTCTCTCTCTCTCTCTCTCTCTCTCTCTCTCTGTCTCTCTCTCTCTCTCTCTCTCTCTCTCTCCCCCTGACAGTCCCAGGCCGAGGGAACATGCCGACATTACACGTAATGCTTATTAAAAAGCATTGAAGCCTCTGTGGCAACAATAAATCATGGCTTCTATACGCGACTCCTCAATAGTGCAGTGACTGGGCAGATTTGTTTGTTTGTGTGTGTGTGTGTGTGTGTGTGTGTGTGTGTGTGTGTGTGTGTGTGTGTGTGTGTGTGTGTGTGTGTGTGTGTGTGTGTTCTACATACCTTATCCACATTCCACTTACGAGAGAGACTATCTCCACAAGGTCGCTATTTACCGACCACCACTCGCAGTGCTAAATCTCGTTCACCTAACAAGTTCGTGCCACCGC